GCTTAGGAAAGTGGAGCTTTGATCTGCAGATGCGTAAGGAGGAAGGGTCAAGATCTGAAGCAGAGTAGACTGGCAGAGAAACAGCCTGTTGGATCATGTTGATCAAATTATGCTCTGCGATGGAGAATCCTTTATATTTTTTGGTCCAAAGTACAAGAGAACTGAGAGCTTTTCTTTGAAGCTGAGAAGATGAGTTCATGCCTATGTGCCTTGGGAAGCTGGAGAACTGTGCTTTACAGTTCATCCGTACCTTCCAGAAATGGTCAGGAAAACATTCAATAATGCCTCTCCGCCTGGTTTGTCAGGGTACTGCTCTTCTTCACACCTTGCTGTTCGTGCCAAAGGCTTCCCTCTCTTTGACTGTTGGAGCCTCCAGTGCCCGCAAGCCCTTACTGAAGTGTCTGTTGTGCCAGATTAATCCTGTTGCTTTTGATGGAATAGTTGCTTCCTCTCATCATTTATTCGTATTTGCTGTTGTTCCGTTTCCTTCTGGTTTTCAAGACTTTTCTGCCATCAAGTGCACTCAGATTTGAGTATTTTGGTTAAGTAGGTGCGTTTCAATGGGAAAAGAAATGATTGTCTCTAGAGTGTATAGGAATATTTATGACATGCTTTGTTTTTCACCAAGCCAGATTTCTGCGCTGGGCACCCGGGGTGATGTTTTGAAAGGCTGTCCTTAGTGTTGTTTTAATATTAACGCCAAGTATACTTTGGGTTATCTGAATTGATAGATAATCTGAGTTTACCTTAATACAAACAGGTAGAAGAATGGATTTTTTGCTCACCTTTTTGAAATGGATTAATTCATAACTTGCTACTGTTTTTTGAAAGGCGTCTGGTGAGTTCGTGCTGTTGAGGTGCTCAAACGAGCGAGCAGAAACAGCTCCTGAAGCCGTGCCGTGTTTTTTTGTGGAGTGAAGGAAGGTAAAACCCCATCCTTGCAAAGGATAAAACTTACTTGATATATCTCTGGGCTCCTCCTCATTCGTGGTCGGGAGGACAGGGTCTTTCCCACCCTCCAACGTCCCCCTCCCCTCCCGCATGGTTACGTGCATGGGAGTTGTGCCGCTCACGCTACAAGAATAACATCCCCGGCCCTGTGTGAGCAGCGGGTTGTTTGAGGACAATGTGGGACTTGTTTTCACGCACACGTGTAGGAGAGCCTGGAGATTTCCCTAGGCTGAACTGGGGTATCTAACACTGGGATTAAATACTCGGTCGGAGTTTATGTAATGCCATACCAATAAGGAGGCTGAAAGGAGAGACCATGTGCATTTACAGTCCCAGAGAAGAGCGTTTACTCTGGTGTATAATAGCCTTCTGTTGGGTTTTAGTAGCGTATAGTTTAGTAAATTAGAAGTCTTCAGGTACTTAGCACTTTAATGGTTCTCACTAAGAACGTAATTAAACCATAGACCCCTTAGGGAGAAAAAACAGTTTATTGTGCGTATTTTTAGAATCTGTTACCAGCCCTCATAAAACCTGGTAGATACAAGCCAGAGAACATACCTTAGCTGGTGACCCAGAATTCATTCAGCAGCCCCCGCCGAGCGTCGCCCCGCAGTCGCACGTTACAAATCTGCCCCGTGAATTATGGAATTAATTTTCCCCGATCTGATCTCGAAACGCATTTGCGGCGCAGTTTTTCTCCGGCTGCTGGAGGTGTGAGGGAGGCAGAAGGTTTATTATATCGCACCTTGTGCTGACACGTAAAGATGGTTTTTGCTAATCGCTTTTTTATTTAAAAACATTTTATGTTTCAGGGAGTTATCCAGAAACGGGGCTTGTTGGAGACGAGGGCTCTGCTCCGTTCCTCTCGCCGCCTGTCTGCCTTGGGCTTGTTTATTTAGTTGCGTCTGAGTTGGAGCTGCATTTTTCTGTGTCTGTGTGTGTCAGGAGTTCACACTTCTCGAAGTGGGGGAGCTCCTGGCTGCTTCCTAGGATGCTTCTCCTCGCAAAGCAGCCACGAAGCAAAGCGTAAAGCTCAAAATCCCCAGCGAAACCAGCCCAGTGAAGCGATCCTGGAATTCTTTTCCCTCCTCCCAGGCTCTGACACTGCTGCCTCTGACACCACCGCGGTGTTTCCGTGGGATATGATTACACCGGGAAGGCGCTAGGCATGCCTGTGGCAGGCAAGTTTCCCCTCTTAACCCCAGCGATGTGCCCTGGGTGCTCTCGCCCAGCCCCAGCTGGGTGCTGGAACCCACCAGTTGGGACATTGGGTTCCCCTAGCACCCCTGGGCAGCGGTCAACTGGGGTGGAAAAAGGAACCAGAAAGCTTTCCAGCATCACAGGTGCCTGTGTTCAGCGCCGTAGTGATTCACACGTCGCTCTGGGTCTTTGCTCTTGCCTCAACACCCCTTCCTGAGCAAACACGGCGTTCTCCCCGGGAAACCTGTGCCGCGCTACGCCCATGCTCGCAGCATCTGGAAGGCATTGGGAGGAACACACACACACAGAGCGCTCTCCTTCCCCAGCAGCCTTTTAACGCGTTTCTGATCCATGCGGATCACTTCTCCATCGCTGTGTTTTGGTTTACGTACTCGAGGTTTACACGCCGGAGAAGGGGCTGCAGCAGTGGGGAGGGAGGGTCCCTTACTGGTGTGTCCCCGGGGGCTCCATCGCCAGTGCTGCTCTTATCAAGTGCATTTCTTTCCCTCTGTCAAAACAGATGCTGAGGAACCATGTGGTATTTGTGCTGTGTCTGCTGCTGGTTTAGACTTTCCGTCTTGCTTGCTGCGTTACCTCGCCTGTCGTACAGCATTGCCCCCACTGACACCCTGATAGTGTCAGTGCTGATAAGGTGAAGGATGGCAATGCCATAGCACCTGGCAGTGAATTATTAACCCGCACCAGATTTCTGCGCTTCACGTCTGCTTTTTCCCCACATCTACTTCAGGATAAGAATTAGGCTGCTGCTAAAAAAACGTAAACCACGGCAAACCCGGCTTTGTCATCCTCGGCTGTTCCCACGCAAACCTGTACATGGCCGCTACGTGAGCCCAAAACAAGAACTTTCTTCTGCTTCTTGTCCCGCTGCAGTGGGATTAGAGGCAAGAATTTTATCTTAAGCACAGCAAAGTTGGGGGACGATATCTCAAGTCCTGGCCCAAAGCAACAAGCAGGATTCGCTGGCTGTGGTCGGCCTTGATAGATGAGGGCATCAGCGTGAGCCGGTGATGGAGAGGAAGGGGATGTGGCAGCAGAACGGCACGTTCCATAGCTACGGAAGGTCTTTGCTTTAAAATTAAAGTGTCAGCCCAGCCCTGCAACGCCGCAGTCGAACGTATAAATGCTCAGTGCCGTCACGTTATGAGATTTAATTGCGTTTGTAAGTGGGTATGTAATTACATGTGAGATGCTGCCTGTTCTACGTGCTGGAAGGGAGCGGGTCCCGGCGCGGCTCGGCGGCACGCTGCCGACGGGGGAACGGGCAGCGGTGCATCGCAAGAGGGGGTGAGCGTGAGTGCCGCCTCTCTGCAGCTCTGGCGTGCTAGAATCAGCCAGTTACCTGCTGGAAGGTGACTCATCTCGGGCTAAATGGTACAACCTCTAGGGCTGATACCTCATCTGGGTCAGGTTTGGTTAATGCTCTTTAAAAAAAAAAAAAAATAAATATAAAAAAATAGAAGCCAAAATAGCACCCTGCCTTTTTGGAAGGATAAAAGCATTTCTCAGCATTATGGGGTCAAGGTAAAAAAAAAAAAATAAAATCTCTTTGTGAGCTTCCCTGACGTTCTGGGAATGCTCAAGAGCAGTCCAACAAGGAGATTAACTCGAAACAGGTCCTGTGCGGATGGGAAGGACCCACGGTGGCACCCGGGGCTGCTGCCGCTGACCTCCCGCCCCGTGCCGGAGTGGACTTGGCAGAGCTCCTTGACCCCGACACCGCTCCATCCGGCGCCGATGTCCGAGGAAGGAAGGATGCGGTCTCCTGTCCTAAGGGGTTACAGCAGCCTCAAACCCATATAAAGCAACAACTTTATTAATCCCAGCTTTGCTAATAAGGAATTACAATAGTTGTGGGATTTGGCAGTGGAAACGCGCTCAGTTGCCATGCATCGTACAGTATTTTCCCTGTTTTGTTTGTATTTTTGATTTAACTACAAATAATTTAAAGATGTGTTGTGTCTCCTTCAATTAAAATTTGCGTCTTCATACTCTCTTCTTTTTTTGTCGCAGTTTTAAAACAATACCAATGAATTTGAGCTTGTCAGATACGCTAAGATAAATTAACTTCTTTCTTTTTGGTAAAATTAAAGCATTTCTAAGGGTGGCAGTTATTAACATATCAGGATTTGGGTTTGTTTCCTTTGTAAAATTTGCGGCTTTATTTTACTGGATGGAAGATCTCCCAGTGTCAAAGATTTCAGGCTGATAGAAGAATAATATTGTCACAAGGCCAATATGTAAATACCTTAAACCAATACAGCATGTTTAGAGGAATTACACTTTCCTCTCCCAAATTACAATTCTGGAAAGCAACTCTACCACCACATTTATTTCAAATTTAAACATTTTGAAAGAATATCTCCTAGGTTTTGAAATCTGGTTTCCATTCCTGGCTCTGTTTGACCTACTGTGTGACCCTGAGAAAATCTTTTTCTCGGTTTCTGTATCGGCTTAGTTGCTCTGATGATCTTCAGTGCTCATGCAGAGCAATTCAACGTCCGTCGGTGTCGAGCTACGTGTAACATTTCAGCATTAAATAACAGTGGTTTTCATTTAAGATGAGTGAGTTTTGGTTATGATGAAAAAAGAGAAAATGAAAAGTCTTGTTTTTTAAAAGTTGTGTTGGTTTAAAGGTTCCTTGGGTTGGCATGAAAAAAATTCAATGAAGTGATTTTCTCTCAAAAGAAATGAGCGCCCAGAGGCAAAGGATCGTTCCCCTGTGAGCAAACCTGGGGAAAGAAATATGAAACAACGCCAAAGAGCTCTGTAGCTCTCCCCAGTGATGCGCCTTGGGAGGGGGATTGATTCTTTTTTCTTCCATCTTTCAGACGCAGCCAGTGCCCAACCCCATCGCCTACTTCATGCATCGCTCGCCATGGTGGTTTCACCAGTTCGAGACCCTGGTCAACCACTTCATCGAGCTGGTGGTGCCATTCTTTCTCTTCCTGGGACGGCGCATGTGCATCGTTCATGGCCTCTTGCAGATCCTCTTCCAGGTGAGATGCTCCTGGGTTTGCTTCCTAAGGGCCACGTCTTCATCCAGGATGGAGCAGGGGATGTTCAAAGGGTGTAAAACTTCTCCCGCTGCCTGTGGCTGGGGGCTGTAGGGAGGGCTGGGACCTGGGTGACCAAGATGCAGACACGCGTTCCTCACGCCGGCTCCTGCAGCAAGGACACGGGCACGCGTGCCGGGAGCGGCATCAGTGTGGTTCGCTGGAGCTCATCTTCTCTGAGCAGGAGCAGCATCCAGAGGAACTGACTCAATCAGCAGGTCAGGAGTTCAGGCTCGAGTGAATCAAGATGATTCACAGCTATTAACTGTTGGCTCTCGGGTGGTTCGCGCTGGTGTGGCTGCTCTTAGTGCGTTGCTGGAGGTTTGTTTCCCTTACTGCTGGTTTGGTTTCCATTCCTATGGATGGCAGAGGAATGTCAGCCCCGGACTAGTGCAAAGGGTCTGATCCTGTGGCTGCGGACGGCTGTGATGAATACTTGCGATTTCTCTAAATGTCAATTTTTAAAGACATCTTTCACCCTTTGAAGGGATTTTTTTTTAATACAGTTAACATTCAAGGGCTGAAGAGTTCTTTATCTCTGAAAATGTTTGACCTGGTTTTTACAACCACCAGACTTACTGAGCCTCGGTTCATAGTGAAAATAATTTCTTCAAAAGTTAATGGCATTCTTGTTGCAATTGATTTTGGTTTTTTGGTTGGTTTGGGTTTGGGTTTTTTTTGTACATGAATAAATAAATGTGTGCAAAAGTCAGAGGACAGAAGCTCCTGCATATATATGTTCCCAGACCACATCTGATTTCTCTTGTCTCTGCCCTGGCATAATTCAAACAGCTCATTAAACCTCAGCCGCTCTGACTCGCAGACGCGCAGCGCTGAGCCCTTGCTGACTGCGGTGTTTGTTCAATATCATTTCAGCGTCATGAAATTCATACTCAGGAGCTGTTACTGCTTCCTGTAAATACGTGTGATGATTAAACTGGAGAACAGCTTATAAACTCTTATTGGCAAACCACAAAAATGCCGATCAGATTTTAAAGGGCTGACATAAAAGCCGTGGGATTTGTGCCCTCATAGGGATGCCCGCTCCTTCTCCTGCTTCCAAAACGTGTCCCGTTGTGTCTGAGTGCCACCGAACGTACAGCTTGTACCTCTGCTCGCTCAGCGCACTGTTTGGTGTCAGGTTTGGTTTTGGTAGGATGGATCTTCTCAGGCTGGAGGTCCCGCTGGTGGGGCAGAAGAGGTCTGACCGAAAGAGGTCTCGGGGCATTGCTCCACAAGATGCCAGTTGTGTTTGCGATGGGCATCGCACCTGAGGTTTTCGGTGTCACTGGGAGGATTATATTCAGACCAGCCCTAAAAAAGCCTGCTCTTTTGTCTGATGGACAAAGCAAAACATCCCGTCTCTGTCGGCTGCTCGTTGCAGGAGCAGGCGGGTGTTGAGACATGGCAGGGATCAGATTTGTGAGCAGGAACTTGGTCTAGTGGGAGATGTCCCTGCCCATGGCAGGGGGGTTGGGACTCGATGGTCTTCAAGGTCCCTTCCAACCCAATCCATTCTATGATTCTATGAATTGCACATAGAAATACTTCTGTGTGTAAGGAAGTGTAGGGAGGATGGCGATGGCTATATAAGGCGAGTAGACCCAGAAAGGGGCAGAACGCACCACGGTGAGTGGCCTGTCGGAAAATAAACCGCGTTGCCAAATTCCAGACACAGCTGCCATGTCTCAGGGCAGCACTGTCGTGCTCTGCTCGCTTCGGCGTTGGCAGAAAAATAACAGCGTAATGGGCTGAGATGGTGATGCTTTGTCTTCACGTCTCTGCCAGAAGAAACTTCCATGACCAAAAAGCCTGACCAAACGCTCCTTTCTCATCCCCTTCCTTCTCGGCTCTCCATCCTTGCCGTGCTCCCGGGCAGGGGCTGGGATGGGGCACAGGGGGGATGCGCCCCACGTCCCCGGCCGGGGCTATCCGGCTGGCACACACCTCCAGCGCCCTCCCGGCTCCTCCAAGGGCCCCTAACGAGCAGCGCGACTGTTTGTGTGCTGGGGGACTTCAGACGGAGCCAGTGGGATCTGAAAAAGCCAACTACATACAATAAAGGCTCATAATGACATATTGTAAATGCATGCATCTAACCACCCTTTAATTGGCGCTTTATTGATAGTTTGCAATTACTGACTTATTTCTATCATGAGGGGAGTCTGCGAAGGAAAAAAGGGTCCCAGTGTAAAATGTAGCTCTGGTGCATTTATAGCATTTCAACAAAAACCTGTTTATTTAATATTTACTGCCCTTTTCTTCATTCAGAATGACTTTTATTGACAATACTTCTGCTCTGCAAAGGAAGCAATAAAGTTTAATGTTGATATACCACTTAATTCTGCTTTTCAAGATTTGAATTGACATTACATGCAAGTTTTATTGGACATTTTATAATTGTTATTGGAGTCATGGTGGCTAGGTTGAGTGAGTGTATTTTTCCAGATTCCAACTGGCCTGGAGAATATTGCTTTGTCAGGAACCTGAAAAAAGGTTGTGCTTTAAAGAAAAAAGTCTTTTTTTTTTTTTTTTTTGCAAGTGTGAACTTATTCTTCTTGCCTAGTTCACATTTGTAAGGAAAAAGGCTTAGTGAGTTTGGAAACATCAGGGCTCGTCAGCCCGCTGGCTCTTCGGAGCAGAGAGCATGCCGGGAGGGTGGATGTGTGTCCCCCACCGGATTCCCATGGGGTTGTGCCGGTCATGCTGTAGGCAGACTGGGCTGGTCCCGGTGTGCCGGACCATCCCGGGCCACCTACCGTGCAGGAGATTTGGGTGATGACGACTGAAACGCGCACTGTGTAGGCGCATCTCTGCATCGTCCCCTTCCCGTGTTCGCCCACCCACCCGTGTCCTCACAAGACCTGGAGCGGGGAGCCCGAGGAGCCGGGACACCCCACGCTTTTGGTGCTTTGTGTGCATTGACGTTGCTGTGATCTTGGTTTGGGGTCTGCCTGCTCTGATACGAGTCCCCGTAGCTTGAGCTTCCAGCAATCTCCCCCCTTTGGCTGCTTTTTGATCTCGAATAAATCAGAGAGTCTTACTTACTGCAAGTCTCTCGATATAAATAGTCTTTGCTTAAAAAAAAAAAAAAATAAAAATAATGGAGGAGTGTGTTGAATGCTGGCCAGTTCCCATTAGAAAAATCATTCTTCATTGTCGCTAACCGCCAGATTGGGGAGGGCTTTGTGATTTACAGCTGTGGGTGTAGTTTTTGCAGGACATCTGCGCACAGAGAGATTCTCAATCGGATTGCAGCGCCCCGAGTGCGTTTGCCAGGATCAAAGGTGAGCGGAGAGAAAATGTCATCCAAGGTTTTACAGCCAGGCCCCGTCAGCAGCTTGTCCCCCGGGGCGGGCTGCGGAGGAGCTCCCCAGCCACCAGCGCAGCTGCTCGCAGTCCCGGCCAGGGGCGCAGAGCTGGGGACCGTCCCCATGGCGTGGCGTGCCGTCCCATCGGGCTGCCCGTCTCATCCACGCCAGGGACAGCGAGAGACGGGTGCGTGTCCTCCGCACCGGTGACTCCCTGCTCCCGAGAGAGGTTTGAATGGGCTGCGCTGACCTTGTCATTAATTGCTGCGTGAAGCCCTGATCCCGAGGAAGCTGTTTGCACTGACGAGATGGTCGCGGAGGTGAAGCTCTGGGACACGGCACCTCCAAGGCTGAGGAGCCTCTCGCAGCCATACAGCCAGTGCAGCCAACAGGCGGGTTTGTGCTCAACGGGACTAAACAGTTTGTGCCCATCTTACTTTCTCCCATCACACCTGTCCCAAAAGCGAAGACTCCCACACTCCTGTCTTGCACAGGTTGACATCACTCCATGAGGCTTTTTTCTCCCTTCGTTGTCTGCTGGGATTCAAACCCCTGGGGTTTCTGAAACCCAAAGTATTGCATCAGCCCATCCCACCTGCAGGGGAACCTGCTCGAAAGATCTCGGCCAGCGTGAAAGCATTAGCGGGTGATGGCGGCAGAGTCTCCCCTTTAGACTGTCTGTGCTGAGAGCATCCTTTCACATTTGGAAAGAAATCTTAGATGAAGAGAAGCCAATTATAGAGGATATCCAGGGTAAATACTCAGCGCTGTTTCACAAAAACATTCTTTCTAGAATTTACAATACGTAGAAATCCAAATCTAAATCAGAAATTAAAGTAAATGAACGTTTAACTTTTCGGCTTTCTTAGGGATTTATTGTAAGCAGGTGCCAGACTTGACATGCGGAGCAGCGCTGCTGCAAATTGTCTCCACCGGGAAGAAAGCTGGAGGAGAGACTTGTGACTCAGCTCCTTCCCTGCTCAGCTCTGTGCCACAGCCCCATAGCACAGACTGGTGAGAAGTGGCCAGGCTGAGCCACGGAAACTTCCAGATAAGCCTGAGATGGACTTTGCCCTTTGCTCATGTATAACTCAGAGCCCTTAGAGTTTTTGAGTTCGCTAAATATTGAAAGCTTTTTGCTACCACTTACTGACATCCTTCCTGGGGAGCACAGGGACATTTTGTAGCTGCTGTGTAGAGGCAGGACCGTGTTCTCCGAGATGGTGGTCTCTGGAGCAGGGACATGTGCGTCGCCTCGTTAGGTTTAAACTTGCAGCACTGGGGTTGGGGTTTGGGACACCTTTTCTAGTTTGTCAAGATGGGGTTGTTTTCACCGAATGTCTCTTGATGGTGGTTATTGAATGTGATGTTCACTTAACGGGATGGAAATCCAGCTGCAGGGGGTTGCAGTGGCCAATGTTTTGCAAATCAGTTTGATGAATGATTCTTGCATTTTGAGTCTGATGGCACCAGTTGGCTGATTTTGTAGTATTGTTGGGGTCTGAGCCTCAAAAATAGACATATAGATCTGAATCACCCCGAAGTCCAGAAGAAATCAAGTCCAAACTGTGGCTGTTAGTGTCTGGAGGTGGAAGAAGAGGTCTTGGAGACCACAGGTGAGGTCTGGATGCT